TGCAGGGTGGCAGAGGGACAATCAATAGATAGATTATCATCTCCATCTCTCGCTCTCTATTGCTGGAAGAAGACGAAGGGAGAAGAAGAACAAGAAGAATGGGAAGAGGAAGACTGAAAAATTGCTTCCAGATCGATCCTCCTCCCCAGCGTCAGTTATCTTCTTATCCTCATCCGCCGAAAAATCACACCAGCAACAAACTTGCCTAGGAGAAAAGGGCTGTCCACCGGCTGATTGATTAGATGGTGAGTTTCTGCCCTCTGTTTATTTTCATTCTTTGCTTCCTTTTATTATTTTAGTTTATGCTGAATCGTTGCATTTTCTCTAGGAGAGACGGAAATCTGCCGGTGATTGGTTGTTTTTGCGCTTTGTTGTCTTACCCAGAACTACTGGTTTTTTAGGATGGACAAATAGGAAGGAGGTGTAAGAAGATGGTGAGTTTCTGTCGTTTCTCTTTCCAGCCTTTTCCCCCTCACCTTTTGAACTTTAACGAAGAAGGAAATGAAAGAATAGGAAGAAGAAAGAGGAAGCAGCTGCAGAAAACTAATAATGTGGTCTCTAGCTATTTGGAAGGAACAAGATAGAGGAAGCAGCTACAGAACTATGTTTTCGTGGAAACCGAATCATTTTCTTAGTTTTTGTCTCCCATTTTTGTGTTGCAATAGGAGATGTGCGGACTTTGCTGTCCCTTTATTTTCTTATGTGCAAAAACAAGATAGGCTTGAGTGGAACTTATTGTGTTTTTTATAATTGAATGTTTTTTATGAAGTATTTATTATTTACTACTAGCACCACTTTTTTTGTAGATTAGTCACAACACCATGTTGTCAATGAAGGGACGAATTTGCTGAGGAGAGGAGAACTGATTATGTATCGAAAAGGAGGACCGATCACTTGCTATGCGCTTGGCCATGTCTATATGACTACAGATCTTGATTCCAAAGGCCTTTTGCCTATGAAAGAGGTAATATTTGTACAACTTTAGCTATGGGTTGGCTATCGAATCTAATTTCCAAGCATGGGTCATCTGAGGTTTTGGGTTTTCATTGAATCCGGTCTTTAGGGATTTAGGTACATTCAATTTTGTATTTTTATGACATGATCACATTTTCTCTTCGAAGTTATATGCTCATGCTTTTGCGTAGAAGTTAATGTGAGCTGCAAACTCACAGGCACAAGTTGCAATCTAATGTTGGCTGAATGGAACCAATGGTTCGAGCTCGCTATTAGAGAGTCTATGAGTTCTAGGGATAAGCCACCGAAATGTTAGCTATATGGAACCAATGATTCGCAGGTGTATTTTTCGACGTGTCAGTGAACGCAAATAAATAAATAAATATATTCTCTGTTTCCACTCTTTATTCTTATTCTTTAACTGCAGCTGCCTGAACAGTGGAAATATATGGTCAGTTTCTACTCTTCTCATTGCAAGGATGAACAACTCTCACCCATATGAGCCTTTTTAGTATCTGGACATATCTATCTATCTGGGTTTTTTTTGTGTCTTGACGTTTTTGATTGGGTTTAGTGCTCTTTCTTTGTTGTATGTTGAGTTAAATCATTTATCTTTTACTCTCGTGTTTGTTTCCGTGCACCCATGTTGTGTGAGATGTGTTAGAGGAAACGCAAATAACGAGTTGCAAGTTGTTGAATTTGATTTTCCTACTGAATTAGTCCATCTTCCCAGCAAATAGTGAGTTTCCATCTTTTAGTATCTGCAAGTTGTTGAATTTGATTTTCCTACTGAATGAGTCCATCTTGTTTGAGATGTGTAAGGGGAAACGCAAATAGCAAGTTTCCATCTTTTAAGATGATATGGAAATGTTTGATGGTTGTCGTGGAATCCCAACCATCAAGCACTCGAATGACAGGTTGTAGATCTACGGTGTTGATGAACTTGCTTATGCCTTAAACGAAAAGGGCGCTCTTCCGTTCACTTGAGATTGCTTGCTGGTTTCTTATCAGAAAGTTCAGAGATTCTACGAAATATGATTAGTTTGATGGGGTTTTCTTTCGTGGTGGTTCGTGTCACTTTGTAGAAGCAGGGATACCCAGTAACATGTTCATGCACAATCCTGTGACCTTTTTGAGAATTTCATACATGCAACTCAAAATATGTGGCTACTCTGACTATCGATTCTAATCTGTATTCAGATTGGCTTCGACCTGTGCTGATGGTGGTTATAGTCTCAACTTTGTTAATATCTCATGCTCATGCCTGTTCATCTTTTCGGTCGAATTTTCTTCCTTGACTATTGACTCTGTATAGTAGGAACACCATCTAACGAGATACATTTTATCTTAGACCATAATTCTGCACCTTTTCGCTGCAGTTGCTCTGCATATTTACCTCCAGATTGTACCCATAATTTTGGAGTTCCTTTTCAGACCTCTAGATTGAAGAGAGCTCTACTATGTGGTATTTTAATCAGACCTCTGTGCTTTCCTTTTCACACTATTGACCTTTGATTTTAATAGATTTTCCTCTTCTGTGCCCAGGACGCAGCCACTGTTGAGATTTCTGTTGCTGTTATCAGATGCAAGTTTGAATGGGGTAATATTATCTCACCTTTCATTCTACGGTTTGATGTTTTCTTCCTCAAATGTTGGCGGCATTTACTGGTACCCAAGACCATAGTTTCTTTCTCTGATATATTGGGGTTTTTTCCACTCGATGGTTTATGTGTATCATACATTATTATTCAAGTCTGTTTACACCATTCTCGGTCGTTCTTAATTCTTAATACATGTCTTTGTGATGTCGAATGAAGCGTATTCTCACTTTTAAATTGCACTTCTTTCCGCTTCTGGCCTTAAAACTCACTTTTTTAAGGGAGTTCCTTTGCACCCTTCTCTGAGCCATTTAATATATATATATATATATAGTGTCTTGGATCAAATTTGTTTGTGAGCTATTAGGTGGTGCCCATATACAATTAGTGATGGTTGAAAGAAAGGAATTGAAAAGCAGCCAAGTATTCACTCTTAAATTGTTAGGATTCTGCAATTGAAAGCATTAAGCTAAACTAAAATGGAATTGATCTTGGGATAGATTTGCTTAAGGCTAGAGCATTTGATGTGTGGAGAAATTTTACAATGCTATATAGTATTGGTGCTATAGGATTTTTCTTTTATGGTACAACTTAAAATTGTACATTTACGTTATGGTACAACTTCAGATTGTACCTATACTTTTTGTACAAATTCTTTTATGGTACAACTTGAACTTGTACTTTGATGTGATGGTACAACTTAAAGTTGTAAAGTTGTACCATAACATAATGGTACAAATTGCTTTATGGTACAACCTAAACTTATACATTTAATGTTATGGTACAACTTTAAGTTGTACATTAAAGCACCAATACTATATAGCATAGTAGAAGTGCTCTTGATGTGTGTGTCTCTTTGACCTGAAACTGTATTTGTCTAGCAGGAATTACCCATCGTTCAATAAACTTTATCAACCTGTAAAACTGAAAAAACCTCACTCTTGAAGCATTGTTGGTTGCTCTCCAACAATTAATACTGCCTTTTATTACATGCCTTTATTCATCATGTAATGTCCCTCTATGTAGCCTTTCTTTTTAATACAGCCTTAAGTAAAAAGAACAGTTCAGTTTTCATTAGCCACATCCAATAATTGGTGATGGCCAACAAGGAGCAAAGAAATTATTCCATTTTCATTTTATTCTCCTCAAAGCTTGAATAGTGCACAACTTTAACCGCTTTTGCTATGGAGTTCCTTCTTAGAGTATTTCATGCTTAGATTCTTATTTTCCATTATCTTTCTGTCAGTATTAGTTCTTTGTTTTTGCTACTTTTTTGTTAACTGCATCTTCAAGCTTCAACTTATTAGCTTTTCTGTCAATGGCAAAATTTGCAACCTTAGATTTGTTTCTTTGATTTGCCAGTTTATCCTTTAGATGGTGTACTCGAATGAATTGTATGCTGCACTTTTGTTAATGATCTACGGTAGGATACAAATAAACAAAATTGAATACTTGCACTAAGATGTCTTTCAAATGGTAGGCGGTGCATATGGGAGATACATTTCTGGTTTCCTGTAATTTTGAACTTTGTTACTGACATGTTCTACAATTCCCATACCTCTATTATAATTTCTTTACATAGTCTAATTGATTGATTTTTAAATTAGTTAATTATCCTAACATGAGGCATCGTTGACAACACCAGTGCAGAAACAAAGTCGTCTATGGAATCAAGAGTGACACGGGAAGGAATGTTGAGGGCCTATACAGAGATGAAGTTGGTGGATGCTTTTATTGCACTACCAGGGGTATTGGAATCAACGGGGTCGATGACAGTATTAGGACAACGAAGCCTCTCTTTCTCTATTGAAATTGAAAAAGAAAAAAGAAAAAAAAGGACTCCGCTCATCCTCTCTAAATCGACAAACTCAGGTGGTTTCGTTTCGGTTAGGGTTTTACATTTGGTTTTTCTCCCGTCAGATTTGGTGTTTTCTTGCTGCTCAATTCAGATCTTAACTCTCTCAACTGTTGCCTAAACCTTCCTCTAGGTTACTTGAGGTTTGATTTTAAATATAGAGCATCTCTCAATGATTGAATTTTTAAGATCCTAGAGGTATTTATTTGGCATATGAAAGGTTGAGTGAGGAAATGTTGGGGTTTGTTGGATCTTTAGTAGTTGTTCCAGTTTATCGTTTTTGACTCTTAAGGAATGATGTGCGCCTGTGCACTTTTATTTTAGTTTCAATTAGTTTTAATCTCTGCCTACCAATGTTGGTTTACAGATCGATTTTCATTTGGTTGTCGCTTTAATGGGAAGTGGCAGTAAAAAGTGGTGGTGATGGTGCATATGTTGAATTTTAATCACCGTTTATAAATTGTAAGGTGTGTTTTTTATAACTTGGTCCTAGAGCCAAACCGTGTTACTTTTGTGAAACTGAATTTCTTTTTGATTAGCAAGATATTGCCTTGCATATAAAGACAGGTTTATGATTGTTACTGCTACTCATTCTGTAAGTTGAATTGCTATAGTTGTTTCAATCAATTTTTTTGCGGCCAACTGTTGGCTCCATGGAACTTGCCCTCTGTTATCCATTTATGTATATTTATGGCATACATATGATGTTTGATCGGTCCATTTGACTGACTTTTATTGGGAATTTATTGTTCTTGCAACATTTTGTGATGGATTTCTAACTAAATTTTGCAATTGCTTTCTAGGAAATTTAATTCGCACCATGTTGTTTGAAACGTGTAATAGGTGATTCAATGTTGTTTGAAACGTGTAATAGGTGATTGTCAAGGGAGTTGTTGAGGATAGCTACATGCATGATCTTATTTGAATATCGATTGATAATGTCAGTTAGTATGTTTTTCACTTCATTCTAACTCATAAATCCAGAGTTACTGTCCACTGACCGAAATTGTAGTCGGTCAAATAAGGTGTGTGCTTCAGGTGCGGCAATTCTGTCCAACCAGTGTATGATGATTTGCTTGATTAAGAGCCTCAAATGTTCCTTTTATCATTTTCCATCCATTTCGCCGTCAGGTTTGCTTGATATGATGCCTTTTTTAGCCATCATTGTTACGCGAAGCAACGCGAGCGGGTCTACCTAGAGAAGAGGAGACACCCTATTCCACATTCTCTAGGTCTACCTAGGAAAAAAAGGTAATGATAGCAAAAATTATCAGGGGTCAAAAAACTTCTACTGCATCAGTCAGGGAACAAATGTTAACAGGCAAGACTGCTTGCCGTCACCTATCTACCATATTGCCTCTACTCTTGTGGGTACTTGCATAACATGTGATCTTGCTTTTCAACCCTTCTGGCTCCTTAACTAGCACTCCTTTTATACTGCAATTTCAAGGGGAAAATGTCAACATCTCCACCATTTTCAACAAGCATTTACATAACTTTCAGTTGCCCCACCATCACCAACTAGCACTCTTTTACATCACATTTTCCCAATTAATCAATTTGACAGCGACCAATATGTATTGCTGCTTTAGTATGGCAACACCCGCTTCACAATACATAATAATATTATGTGCCTAATGTTTATTTCCAGTGCAAAGTTTATAGATGTACAAATCATCCTGTTTTTTCTTAAATCGCATGTTCTCTACTCAATCTACTCATGGACACATAAATATGTCAATTTCCAAAGCAAACTCCACATTTTTCCAATACGATCTCCTTCCTTACTAGTACTATATAATCAACGATGTTGTCAAAAGTAAATGGGCTGGGATGACAGGGTTCTCTGTCGGCTCACGTATCCGTTGAACGAACAGACCATCCTTCTTCCCGACTTTCCTTCAACACCTTTCCTAATCACAGGTGAGAAAAATATCTTTGACTATTCCTCATACAGAAATGGATCAGATTCGTCAAACTAGTCCTCAACCATGGCGGCGCAAAGCTGACCGGGAAACGATTCAAAATACAACAACACCATTGCTTACGAGAAACTCTTCTTCTTCTCCGACCTTCCAACAAACCAAAATTCTCCCCTCGCAATCACCATGCATCCGAAACCCCTTCCCTTCTTTACCACTGCGTTCTTCCTTCTTCTCCACTCTTCCTTCTTCACCCCATCATCATCACTCGATTTTATCTTCAACGCCGACTTCAACTCCACCAACATCCTCACCGTCGGCAACGCCACAGTCCGCCCTTGGCCGCCTTCCATCCTTTCCCTCACCGAAGCCATCCCTTTCTCCCTCGGCAGAGCCTTCTACCCTTCTCCACTACCCACCACCACCATAACAACGCAACCCAATGCTTCTTCCTCGGACTCGCTCCCTTTCCACACTTCCTTCATCTTCTCCATCGTTCCCCCAACCAGGCCCCTCCTCCCGGGCCACGGATTCGCCTTCCTCTTCTCCCCATCCGCCGGAATTCGCAGCGCCATCTCGTCTCAGCACCTGGGTCTCTTCAATTTGACCAACGACGGCAGCCCCAGCAACAGGGTTCTCGCGGTGGAGTTCGATGTGTTCATGAACCAGGAGTTCAATGATCTCAACGACAATCATGTGGGTGTCGATGTGAACTCGCTGAATTCAATTGCGCAGCGGGAAGCTGGGTTTTGGAGAGGGGATGGAGGTTTCGAGGAGTTGAGGCTCAATAGCGCGGAGAATTACCAGGTTTGGATCGATTATGTTGATTCCAGGATTAATGTCACTATGGCTAGAGCAGGGGAGGTTAGGCCACGTAGGGCTTTGATAAGCGAAGTTCTCAATCTCTCTGGGGTTTTCTCCGGGGAAATGTTTGTGGGTTTTGCGGCAGCTACAGGGCAATTGGTAGAAAGCCATAACATTTTAGCTTGGAGCTTTAGCAATTCAAATGCTTCAATTGGGGATGCTTTGATTACTTCGAATCTGCCTTCTTTTGTGCGTCCTGATCAGAGATCAGTGTTCAGATCAGTAGGGTTCATAGTTGGGACCACTGTGGTAGCTTTCGGCATTGTTGGTGGAATTTTGGTTTTTCTGATTTTGATCAGGAAAAGAAGAGGGAAGAACAAGAAGAAGGAAGAACCAGAGGAAATGGAAGACTGGGAAACGGAGTATTGGCCACATAGGATTGATTACCGAGTCATTTACGAAGCAACTGATGGTTTCAATGAACAAAACGTAATCGGCTGTGGAGGAAACGGTAAGGTTTACAAAGGCAAATTAGATGGAGGAATTGAAGTAGCTGTGAAAAAGATCTCTCTGCAGAATCAGTACGGCCTGAGAGAATTCCTGGCCGAATTATCCAGCTTGGGCAGATTAAAGCATAGAAATTTAGTCAGCATAAGAGGCTGGTGCAAGAAGGAACAAGGCAGCTTGATTCTAGTCTACGACTACATGAAAAACGGAAGCTTGGACCAGAAAATCTTCCACTCCAACAAAGACTCTCAATCTGTCTTGACTTGGGAACAAAGAATGAAAATCTTGAGAGATGCAGCAAGTGGGATACTGTATTTACACGAAGGGTGGGAAGTCAAGGTCCTTCATAGGGACATCAAAGCAAGCAACGTGCTGCTGGACAAGGAAATGAATGCTAGGTTGGGTGATTTCGGCCTGGCCAAGATGCACAGCCACGGCCAGCTAGCCACCACCACGCAGGTGGTGGGCACGGTAGGTTACATGGCGCCTGAAATGATGACAACTGGACGAGCCACGACTCAAACCGACGTGTTTGGTTTCGGGGTGCTCATCTTGGAGGTGGTTTGTGGTAGAAGGCCGGTTGAAGAAGGGAAGCCGAGCTTGGTTGATGAGGTGAGGAAGGTAGTGATGGAGGGAAGGGATGTGGTTTCTGCAGTAGATGGAAGGGTTAGGGAGAGCAGTGGGTTTGGTGATGAGGAAGTGAAGAGGGTGCTGCAGTTGGGATTGATGTGTGCTTATTGTGACCCTCGAGTTCGGCCAACGATGAGGCAGGTGGTGAAAGCGCTGGAGAGAGGGAATGATGAGAGGCAGGTTGATGCCTGGGATGTTGATTTGGTTGTGAGTGGAGAAGGGAATGGAAGTAGTAGTAGTGGTGGTGTATGGTCTGGGTATCAGCATGGTTTATATGGTGCTGAACTGCCGACTCTTGATCATGTTTTGCAGTCGTTCCCATCGTCTGTTTCGCTGCTTACCTCAGATGTTATAGTCGAAGGCCGATGAAACGAGTTAGTTATGAGTGAATGGTTAATAGTGAGGGATAGTATAGCGAAAATTGCATTTGATGTCTTTCATTGTCAAACCACCAGTTTCATTTGATTGGTGATATGTATATCCTTCAGATGTGTATTTCACAGCGTGCAGATATCTCTTTTGTTTATGGTCTAATTCTTGTTTCTGCTCTTCTACTCTTCTATTTTGTGCCTAAAGCCGTAACTTAGAGTACAAGTAAAGATTATAGTAATAGATGAATATCAGCGGGGATAGCTCAGTTGGGAGAGCGTCAGACTGAAGATCTGAAGGTCGCGTGTCCGATCCACGCTCACCGCATTTTGTAAGCTAATCAAGCTGACTTGTGAGGCCTGCAGTGTTTTTTTGGATAAGCCAGCCTTACTCATCATTCTTGGAGCTGTTAAGGTTGTAGATTATGCCTTACAAGTCAGCTTACTTTTGGCTACTTTTTAAAACACCTTCCAAACATGGCAAATAAGAACAATTTGCAGCCTTACTTTTGGCTACTTTTTAAAACACCTTCCAAACATGGCACATAAGAACAATTTGCAGCCTTACTTTTGGCTACTTTTTAAAACACCTTCCAAACATGGCACATAAGAACAATTTGCAGAAGAGGAAGTTGCAAATGGGAAAGAAACTTGTATACACCAGTACACCACCAGGGCAGAAATAAATATATCTGGTCTACACAAAATACATCATCATAAATCAAACCTTGATTTTGATTCTTCTCCTAAAACTCTTCTGTAAACAATACAAGTATATATTTCTCTTTTTCCTCACTCTCTGCCAAATCTATGAACCAGGGGCTAATGGAGGAAGGAAGCCACACACCGGTTACCAACCGCCCACAGTAAGCAGACAGCTAAGAATTGGCATTTTTCAATGTTTCGAAAGAGATAATTCCTTCTGCGAAGGCAGTCATTGTTGCCATCTGCACCATAGTGTACTGAAGCAGAGAGGGAAGGGAAGAAAAGATGTTTAAAACACTCTACTGTACAAAGAGGAGGGGTACTGAGAGAGCTGCTACTAAAAAGCTCTTCCATGAATCAAGTTAGCTTTTCTTCTTCAAGCCTTGTTGCCCCACTGATTTCCACAATTTCCTGAAGGTTCTTTTACCTCACAGGAACACCTCCTTTTCCGAGCTTTGCCTTGTCAAGCCGTCTTCTAGCAAATTCTTGTATTTGACGATCGTGCTCTTTCAGCATTTGCTCCACGTTGTTTGATGGTACGAGTAACGGACCAGATACATATATCTTGTTCCCCTTGGCCCCCCGAATATGCTGAAATTGAGGGAAATGTGAGAACTATAGCCTTGTAGAGCTTCAAGAGAAGCAAAATTGATATTGAGAATGAAAGGGAACTATTTAGAGGGCATACCAGGCCAGGGTCCCGACTACCCGGTTGTTGCCCACTTCCAGCCTGAGAAGAAGAGTCTGTTCCCCTTTGGGATGGAAAACTTCGGTCTTCCATTCTCGGGTAGTCTGACCGGTTTAGTGAACCATGGGCCCTACTTCCTCCTTGCTTTACTGAATCAGGCTGCGAAGTACTGGGTTTTCCCATGCGGTCTTCAGGCAATGCAGCCCTGGAAGCTACTAGACCAGACATTGTTGAGATGTTGGTGCTTCTAGCTGATGCCCCATGAGGATTGTTGTCATGATGATCTCGACCAGACTTGGTCCAGCCACCATGGACCAATGGCCCAGAATGTGAGACTTTCGGACGTTGGCTTTCCATGTAACTCCGTCTTCCCTCATTTCCAGGTTGAATTTGCTTAGAGGGATGGACAAGGAGGCCAGAGAAATTTGTGTCCTTGATTGAGTGGGACATTTCACCTTTCGAATAGGAATGACGGCTAATCTGCAATTCAGACGAAAAAGAGAGAAACGTTCAGGGCAGCTACAAACTTAAACGGAAATTTTGTCACAGAAAGAAACACAAGGAAACTATGTGAAAAGAGACCATGATACGAGACAATAACATATTACTAGAACTGAAGTCATGAATAACAAACCCAGACAATCGTTCTGCTGAAACGGAAGGATTTGGAAATATGCACCCAGGCACTCCCAATTTTTATTAGGTAGGGCAAAAAGGAAAAAGCCAAGCAAAAGGTAGTACCTGTGTTGAGGATACATCTGCATTGCCAGTAGGCCCCTTGTTAGACATTGATTCATTTGGTCCGTTCCCCTTAATGGCAGCTTGCCTTTGTCTACAAAAGTAAATACTAGTTTTACGTAACATGCACCGACAAATGTAAATCAATTCACCAAGAAAGAGTGTGTCAAGGGAGCTGTGCATTGCTAAGAAAATTTCGCCAGAGGACATATAAATCACTTTCAAGTCAACTAATTTCGTTAGAAGCCCTGTCCTAAATAAGCTACATTGAGCATTTCCTTTCAGATAACATCAGATATGAATAATTGTGGCGAGTGGAAGATGTCGAATATTAAGCAAAGATGAAATCGACAAATAAAGTGTACCTTCTAGCTTCTTCGTCACGCTTTTTAGCATCAATTTCTTTGCTGGGAGGATACTTGGGTAAACTTGAAGGATCACAAGCAAATGGTCTTGTCGCAAAATACTGAGACCACATCAAAAAGCTTATGGTCAAGCAGGTGCATGAAAGAGGTTTCCCCACACATGTACACAAATCCATTTCCATAATCCAAATACTTAACCGCAAGCATAAACAAAAGGAAAGAAAATAACCAAGAAAGAGAAAGCTTTTACTAGAAAGCAACCATAAATCTAATAATGAACCTTAACAGGATCAACGGTAATATTATACCTCACTCTCCAGGACTAGAGCGGCATTCCCTCTCTGAACAGGATCAACGGACAGTAAGGTCTCTAAAAGCGCAAGAGCAGGAGCAGGAAATTCCTTGAATGTTTCTCCAACACATCGTTTGTATGGACGTTGGGGCTTTATTACTGAAGAATGATGAAGTTTTGATTTCTTCCAATAATCATCAGATGGTGAGCCACATAGCTTGAAGATTTTATGCAGTTGCTCGACCTACAGAATAACATGGTAAAGAGAACGTCAGTAAAGAAGCAAATTTGACAGCTGAAATATTGTAGTATTATACAACAGTATCAGACGGGCATATCAATCAGTTTCCTGAAAATCTCACCTCTGTCCTTCCAGGTAAGATAGGTTTTCCAGAATATAATTCACCAAGTATGCACCCAGTGCTCCATAAATCTACAGCAACTCCATAGTTGCAGGCCCCGAGTAAAAGTTCTGGAGCTCTATACCAAAGAGTAACAACACGGCTGGTCAATGCAGCACTACTCTTAGGGTCAAAGAAACTCGCCAAGCCAAAGTCAGCAATTTTTAGGATGCCACTGTTATCAATCAGAAGATTCGAACCCTTGATATCACGATGCAGAACACCACGGCTATGACAGTGATCAAGTCCACTCAAAAGTTGCTTCATGTAACATTTTATCTGGAAAGAGAAAAGGTAAGAAGTCAGGGGGGGCATAAGTGACGCAATCAGCCACAAATTAGAGAGCGGCATAGAACCGTTTAACAAATGATTTAGCAAAACTACCTGAGGTTCAGTGAACTTGAGTCCTGGTATTGAAGCAATTCCTGTGAGGTCGTGTTCCATGTACTCAAAAATAAGGTACAATGTTGAAGATGTTGGTGATGTTATCAGGCCTTCTAGCTTTATAACATTAGGATGATCCAGCGTGCGCAAGATAAGAATCTCACGCGCCATAAATTTGACACTATCTGGATCACTATTATCAAACCGAACTTTCTTAAGAGCAACAATCTTATTGTGAGTGACATCACGTGCCTTGTAGACGCTGCTGTAAGTTCCTTGTCCAATCTGCAAGAGAAAATCACTAGTTAATTTGAGTTCACCACGTGTACCACGCATCAAGATTTGCATCAAGTGTCCATTTTTGTGCTTCATTATAATTGTAAATTCCAAACATGATCCATCAGAAGATTAAAAAGAACGTGACTTCTTAATGGGGCATGTCTAAATTTCTTTTAGAAAACCATTATCAGTTTCACCATTCATTAAAAGTAAACACTCAATCCAGCTGTTCACTGAAAAACTAAAGCATATATAAAGATGAACTGCCTTCGCCAGAAAATCGATACAGCAATTAATTCCAGCATTGGATCAGGAAACAACATCAAGGCGAAGAAAAACAAACAGAAAACACTCCCAAATTCAAGATTGGATGAAAGAGATCATGGACCAAAATAAATAAATAAAAAGGTGCAAAATTGGCATCTACAACATGAAACAAAGATGAACACGCATAAAAAATATAATGTTAACTGAGATGAGAGGAACTTACTCTATCCAACTTCTCGAATGAATTCGCCTTCCGGGGAACCCAACCTTTGATCGATTCACCAGCAACTGAGACAAGCCAGGCAGGCCATCCAGCGGCAACCTGCTCAGCCTCCAAATTCTTTGGCACCCTCCCCCAAGCAGGATCGCTAAAATCCGTAATCTCAAACCTTCTCTCACTCTTGGAATAAGTTGTAGCAACAGCAGCAGAAACCTCACGTCTCGGCACCATTTTTTTCTCGATTTGATAATCTTTCGACCTTAACTCCACCATCTGATCACTATGGTACCTACTGGAACCATGATTCTTCTTCTCAATCAACATGACCTTAACTTCACCACTGTCTGATATACTCCTTGATCGACTCCCTTCATCCCTTCCTCCCGATGTATTCACATGGGCAACTCGCCTATCGAAGGACACTCCCCTACGCGATGACAACCTCTCCCTAGGGCTACCTTCCTTCGAAGCAATACACCCCATTTTTCTTCCAAATCTAGACGTCAGCTTCAGAAATCAGCTTAATCAAAATTGCCCAGATCAATGGTCTTATCTCGCTCTTCCTCACAAATGAAATTCAACAGTAGAAATCAACATGATCTGTCTCGACCAACAACAACAGCTTATCACAATCCATTTCCACAGAATTACCCAGGTGATCGAACCAATTCAAAAGTTGAAGACAACAAAGAAGGAGAATTCAACAACAACAACAACAAAGCGAGCAATCACACACCTTCAAACTTCCCCAACCAACCGCTCCAAGGAACTGAAAAAAGGCGCAAACTTTAAGCTGTCAAAGTCAAGGAATCCAACAAAACAACCAGACCCAGAACGGTATATACCCTCTACAGACTGAATTTAGAACGATTTAAGGAAAAGGGGAAGGATCCAATTACCAGTAAAACTGAGAAAGGAAAGAAGGTAGTTGTGAGGGTGGGCAAAAGGGGGGGAATTGATGATGAAATAGAGGGGAGGATCGTTGTTAGTCGATGCTGGGTCCAATTGGGCAATCAATCCCTTAGCTGCAGTTGAGCTGCCTTATTTGTTTGTGTACCGGGTTTCCTTTTGGTTTGGATTTACAAGAGGGAGAAGGTATTGGAATAGTATGCACCTGTTTCAACGCGCAAACCGGTCGACACGGATGCCACATATGAAAGAACAACAACGTGGGTAGGAGTTATAATGCAACATAGATGGATGGATGGATGGATGGATTGGAAGAGAGTGGTAGGGGTGATGGATGGCCTTCTTCCTTTGTTTATTGGGCCTTCTACTGCCTGCCGTGTGCGCATTTGTGAGTTGTTAAAATTGAGGAACCGCAAATATACCGTGGATAATTATACACAAGGAGACGGCAATCTGCCGGCAGTCATCCTCAACTGATTACCCGGTCAAATCATAGAATCCACAGTATGTATTATTTTATTCATTGTTCGTGAATTACTCCTTGTTATCATCAATATATTCATAAATTACATTCTTTTGCACATGGTTTTTCTCTCCCATGGTGGCCATGGTTGATTGGTAATCGTTAAGATTTGGGGTGTAGACGAGAATAGATATCTTTTCATTTTGTTGCATCGTTGCCTTGTTGGTGTCCTTTTACTCTTGCGGGAAGTTCAACGTTGCTTTCTAAATTCTCATGGAGTCCATGAATGTGACTCCACTTTCTTCCCATTTTGTTTGTCTACACTCAAATGTGAGGCTTCAGTGCTTCCCCAGGAAGAAAAAGTAAACATGGCTTCAATCTAATCGGTCAAAAATGGTTAGAGATTAGTTATCGTACTTTTCGTTCTACCGGTCAAACTCAAAGGCATAATCCGTATATGCTACCCACTTGTTTTACATATGGGTAAACCCTTAATTTGAACCATTCCACTACTAGGAACGATTTTACAATACTTTTTTAACTCATAAAATAATGGATCAATTTGAAAATTTATATAGTGCATGGATTCAACTATGTGTTTGAGTTAGTTATATAAGCAGTAATAGGTCATTCCAATAAAAATGTTGAATTAAAAGAAATTATAATTAATAACGTTATCTAAACAATTACTCATTTTTATTTCAAGAAAACCGAACACTTAACGATTAGGAAACATCCTAAATGACCAATGTAGAATCGATCTTTCTCTACCTCATGATTAAGTTTAAGAAGACTTTACACCTCCATGGCCTAATTACTTAGCGCATAGGAATATGAATAACAAAATGGGTCAACTACTTAGTCATGTGAGTGATCTCGTGTCACCTACACGGTGAAAATTATGTGATACCTTATTTAGTACATTAAACACTCAATTTACAGCATTAAATAACATCGATGGTAATCTAGTACTAATAATCATGCCATTAATTTAACCACTCAATTATCACCCCGTTATCACGATTCGATTGTGTCATCACGCAGTAAACAAATTGATATAAATGCATGTATGCAGACTTCTCAGTTAATATTATTAATTGTGTGCAAGGATCACCATACACCAATCCTCACTCGAGACGATCTTAATCATAATTGGTCTCTTTAAATCACACTCATCTCCAAGAAAAATCTCGCCAATCTACCCAAATTCCATACATTTTGGACTAGTTATAAGCTACTTCTACATTTAGATAATTGTAATGAACCCCAACAATCTCGTTAATTTACCATTTAAATCATTTTATCACAACAGTTAGCAATTAATCCACGAAAATTACACAATCAACATATCCAACCACGGTTGAACTGTTCTCGTGAGAGTGTCGTGACCAAAAAATCATTAATTAGTTAATGATTAGTTAAAACTTAAAATTGAGAATGACTCAACAATAAAGCAGTTGAAAACAAATGGAGCAAGACTAAGAAGTAAGAACCATACTATATCATATGACTTGTATATAGAAAAGGTTGAAATAAATCTAGTTGTACATGTCAAATCAAAATTTACAATATCATATAAACCGATATATTTATCAATATCCCGCATAGTTGTCATTCCTACCCACATATTCCATTAGCTTGTTTTGTTAGAATAATACATCAGAATAGATTTTCTCGCGAGACAATCATAAATAGTGATGATGCCATACTATTTAATTAGCTAAAATAGCAGTTCAGATTTCGGAAGGATGATAGTGGAGAATTTTGGATATTGTCAAATATGTTTTTGATGGCCTCACTTCCAATTTCCTGAAGTCCTAAGAACGAACGTGCTAGCATTTCCCATAAAAAGATTACACAAACATCAGATTTTGCGTTCAATAGATCATGGGCTCATTTTAATGTGTTATGCAGTTCTGCTTTTCTAGCGGATTGTTTTTCTTTTTCTTTGCGTTATTTAATTTTCTCACATGATACGTTATTACTTATTTGGGTGCCATAGAATAGTATATTATTGTTCACTAGTATGTTTATAAGAGTTATAAGATAGAAATATGGTGACGTGTAAAAACCAGTAGTAACAACCATTTAGGGTTGGAGAGAAAAAAGCTTAGATGTTTTCATTGAGTCTTCAGCTTATATAGCTGGAAGTGTTCAGTACAGACAGAACGAGGAAGAAGACAAAGCTTGTGGCTTAAGAAAGTACATTGCTTAAAGTGGAAATAAACTGAATTAAGAACTTTGAGGACTAAAATGCACTTTGCCAGATACGACATCACTCCAGCTCCTGCGTGTCTTTGTGGGAACGGCGTCGTTGCGGACAGCAGGCGAAGTCTCTGTGGAAACGTTGTCATGTTGAGCAACGGTCGAATCCTCCTTCATCTTCTCTGATTGAAAAGCAGAGCTTTTCCCCTGATACCCCCCCCCCCCCCCCCCCCCCCCCGCCGCAAGCCGGAGAGCACAAATTGTGCACGTCGAGCTTGGAGAAGAGGGATCGATAGATGGCCGGCGGGAGAGGTTTGGTGAGGATGTCGGCCAATTGGTGCAGGCTGGAGACATGGAGGATTTTGATTGTGCCTGCAAGCAATTTTCCTCTAACAAAATGACAGTCAAGCTCGATGTGTTTCGTCCTCTCATGAAATGTTGGGTTCTCGGCGATGTAGATCGCCGATTGGTTGTCGCAGTAGAGAGTGGCCGGCTGCGGATGACTGATGTGGAAGTCGTTGAGAAGATAGAGGAGCCATTGGATCTCACAGGTGGTGAAGGCGAGAGCTCGGTACTCTGCTTCGCAGGAGGAGCGAGAAATTGTAGGTTGTTTCTTGCTCTTCCAGGAAATTAGTGAGTCTCCCAAGTAGACACAGTAGCCAGTAACTGAACGGCGAGTGTCAACGCAGACGGCCCAGTCAGAATCACTAAAGGCTTTGAGTTGAAGAGATGAAGAAGCAGAGAAGAAAATGCCACTGGATGGAGCTGTCTTGAGATACCGGAGGATGCGAAGAACAGCCTTGAAGTGGTCATTACTGGGGTTGGTCATGTATTGACTGACCTGTTGAGTTGCGTAACTGATGTCTGGCCGAGTGGTGGTAAGATAGATGAGTTTCCCAACTAGGCGGCGGTAAGTTTCTGGGTCTGCAAATGGATCAGAATGAGAAGCAGAGAGGTGCTGCTTGCAGTCAATTGGTGTGGAAGCAGGCTTGGCATGGAGAAGATCGGCTTCCTCCAAGATTTTGAGGGTGTATTTGCGCTGAGATATGTGGATGCCAGTTTTGATGCGAGCAACTTCAATCCCCAAGAAGAATTTGAGTTTGCCGAGGTCCTTGATGCTGAACTCTTGATGCATATAAGTTTTGAGGTTTGTGATTTCAGCCAGATCATTGCCACCAATGACCAAGTCATCAACATAGACAAGAATGCAAGTGTATGATGTTGCAGTGGACTTGAAAAAGAGGGAGTGATCAACCTTACTGGATTGGTAACCCTGTTGTGATAGGGTGTCGGCAAGCTTGGAAAACCATTGGCGGGAAGCCTGTTTGAGTCCATAAAGGGACTTCCTGAGTTTGCAGACAGGATGTTTGAAGCCTGGAGGTGGTGAATAACCTTGAGGCAGCCTCATGTAAACATCTTGATCTAAGTCACCGTGCAAGAATGCATTGTTGACATCGAGATGGTGGATAAACCAAGATTGAGAGGCAGCAATGGCGAGGAAGAGTGTGATGGTGGACATTTTTACCACTAGAGCAAAGGTATCCTGGTAATCAACTCCTTCTTGTTGGTTAAAGCCTTTGGCGACAAGTCTTGCTTTTCGTCGCTCAAGGCTACCATCTGAGTTGAATTTGAATTTGTATACCCACTTGTTGCCTATGATTCGAGTATTGGCAGGACGTTCAACAATGTCCCAGGTGTGGTTTGCTTCGAGAGCTTGTGTTTCAGACTTCATAGCATCATTCCACTCATCAGATAAGGAGGCTTCCTGGTAAGTTTCTGGTTCTTTGAGTGTGGAAATGCTTAGAGCAAAGTGATTGTGAGAAGGTGAAAGATTTGAATAGTCAAGAACAGAAGAAAGAGGGTAAGTCATACCTGGATTGTGCTGTTGTGGAGAATGATTGGTAGAAGAAATCTGATGCAGGAGGTTGCAATGGTATGATTGTAGGTGTTTGGGGGGTTTAATGGTTCTGGTGGACTTCCTAGTTGGTGGTTCAGGGGGTGGTGATGGGGAAGGTGGTGGGGAAGGAAGTAGAGTGGGGGAGGTAGGTGGACTGGAAGAAGGAGAGTCTGGCTCAAAGTGAAGATCAATGATTGAGGGTTCTGGTTCTGAGGGAATAATTGGAGAGGGTTGGTAAAGGGGGCTGAAATCATCAAACAAGGCTGGATGGGAGGATGAGGGGTAGGGGCTGGTAGGAAGATCATTTGGTTGGTCAACCTTAAAAGGGAAACAGTCTTCATAGAAATGGACATCTCGAGAGGTGAAAACCTCATGGCTGGCTAAGTCATATAGTTTGTAGCCTTTGATGCCAGTGGTGAAACCTATGAACACACACTTGCGTGATCTAGGATCAAATTTGGTTCTGTGACTGGACAAGGTTGAGGCATAGCATAAGCAACCAAAGACCCTGAGTTCATTGAGGTCTGGTGGTTTGTTGAAAAGCTTTTCATAGGGTGTGTGGTTGGCTAAAACAGGAGTAGGAACTCGATTTATTAGGTGAACTGCATGTCTAACACAATCTGACCAAAAACCAGTGGGAAGGTTGGCTTGAAATTTGAGAGCACGAGCAACAGCAAAGATGTGTTGGTGTTTCCTTTCAACCTTGTTGTTTTGCTGTGGAGTCTCAACATAGGATTGTTCATGTAAAATGCCAGTTGTGTTAAAATAATCATGCATTTGAAACTCTTTCCCTTGATCACTGCGGATTCGTTTGACTTA